AAGCTAGTCGTTAACTTTCCCATGGGAACGATGTTGCTACTTCGAGTGAAATTGATGGTTATCTGTTCAGAACACAACATTATACAATGTGCCACTTGATAGATGAAAACCTTGACTCTCTATTGGTTATAGGTAATATATAATGAAATGTAAGAGAGAACTATCAACGAATTGTGGAAGAGAGGATGTGACAGGTGGGTGTGGCAGGAGGGGGTGTGATTTCTATTCGATAGCTCTGTAACCAAACAAAATTGAAGGCTATAAAAATTATGGTTTGTTTAAGCAATAATGATTTTATAGAGAGTATTTTAAGTTCAATTTCATACATTTTCGAGAGGTAATGGATAAAATAAGGATGATGACATGCTAAGACAAAATGTGTCACGTGTGTCACACTAGTGGAAATTCAAGATTTTTTAGAATTAAGAACTTGAAACTTGTATACTATTAAAATATGGATTATTAGCTATTTTAATTGGTATAACATAAACAAAAAGTAGTTTAATAAAATTTTGAATGTAAGACACTAAAACCTTTTGTCATGCGCAGTAAAGGGTACCCAGGCATAGAGGTATAATACACCCTTATAAAAACATAAAACCCTAGAAAGCATCATCTGGAACTAATAAGTATTTTTTAGCAGATAGTATTATGATTTTTCTTACTCTGATAACTTTAAACATCACACTTGCATGAGCTCAAATCATTGTGCTTTATACGTCTACAATAGTTTGTGAAGGTAATGCACGAGCAGATTATCTATGTATATAAAACTAATTCCAAAATGGTCTTACCTCCACTCTTTCAGAACATGCGCTGACCATGTGACTATCCTCCATCAATCATACTGTACCATCTATAGTAGTGCAGCTAGCTCCCTCTACTTTTCTAGAACAATCCCTATTTTCTCAATTGGCATTCTAGTATATAGATGTGTGTTTTAATTCACCCTCCATGTGACTACAAAATCTTGATTGTGCTTGATCAAAAGTTTATATCAGTTTCAACTTCAGGTTTTGAATTCTTGTGTTTGATTTCCATTGTTTCTACTTGTTTGTTTTAGAAATATTTCTGTTTTCCAAACTCTAATTTGTTCATATGAATTTGAGATTTAATATGGAGGATTATGAAATTCCCACAACAGTAGACAGTGGCTGACATGAATCCCCGGGTCTCGGGGTTAACGATGTCTGCTGGGAAAGCACAGGCTTTAGTTCATGGGGAGATCATGTCTTATGTTTGGCCAAGGATTTCTTCCTTTCACGTTATGATTTTTTGTGAGGAAAGATGTAACTACTGAGTGGAAATTTCTTTTTACAGCACTTTCCATCTGTTACTGTGCCTCCATGTAATCTCCTGGGTTAAGTTTTGTTCTTTTACCCAGGAAATCTGTGAAAAGTTTTCAGTGTGTATTCCTTACTCCCAGTAGGTATACCCAAGTTTAGGAAGTTTATGTTAGCTTTTGGGGATTGACCTAATTTCCTCATGAGATAATTTAGGTCTTTTATGTTTTCTCTGCTCAGTATGCGGTCAGTTACATTTTTATAATTATTTTTCCATCCAAGTTACTTGTGTTTTAATTTGCATTTAGAGTTTGATTATTACTTTTTTTTTAATTTTCAGTATATGTATGAGTTTTGCATGATAGTTACTACTTAGGTAATTGTAACTTCAGCCAATTTTGTTGGTGTATTAGTTCATCATTTATACTTCCTTTCCCTATTTCTGTTAGTTAGTTCCTTTTTCTTTACTACTAGTCACATCTAATTGGAGATTAGATTTGAGTCAAAATTTATTGTTGTTAACTGGGTACCTTTTTATTCTCATGTTCTTCAGGGTAGGTTTTTCACTTTCGTGTCCATTGTCTTATCAGTTTTTTTAGTAGACTTACAAGTTCAATATTTATATGTCTTTTATCTTCTAAGTTTCCTTAGTGGTTTTTGTACTTTAGGTGTTGCTTATTGTTTTATGGTTTAGGTCGATTTTCATAATTTTGCAGGTTCATTATTTTTATGTACTTTGTATACTCTACAACTTTCTATGTTTTGTTAGTTTGTTAGTAATGAGTACTTTCTCAAAGTATGTTTAGTTTATGTGTCTTTTTGGCTACACTTCACAACAGTTTTGTGGGTTCTACAGGTTCTATCTGAAGGTTTCTGCCTCCAGTTCTGCTCCCCCCTATCCACTTCCCAAATCTTCTCTCCTCCTCAGGATCGTACCTCTTCCAGTTGTTTTGCCTAGTCTGTTCAAGACCTACTACACAAAGGGACTGTTGATTGGGTGGTGCCCACTCAACCAAGATTTTACTCCCATCTAATTGTTCTACTTCGAAAGACAGGAGATTGGACACCTGTCTTTGACCTGTCTCAGTTGAACTTTTTATCTGGAGCCACCTCGCTTCACATGGAGTCCTACCTTTCACTTTGGGAATTTTTTTCCCCTGGGTCTCTGGATGACCAAATTTTCCTGACAGTTGCCTATCTTCATATTTCAACTACTCCAGTGTCATGTTGTTTTCTTCAGTTCATCCACAAGGGTTGTGTTTTCCAGTTCCTGGCACTGCCATTCGGTCCTTCTTCGGCTCTGTGTGTTTTGTCGAGTGGTACACTCTTTTGCTAGTCTTGTTGGGTCTTTGGACTCTCCTATTCATCGATGACTGGCTCCTGTGTGTGTCACTTCCCATACCTGCTTGCTTCTTCAGGAAGCTAATCAGGTGGGTTTTTCTGATCCAGTTGGAAAGGTCCATTCTTAACCCCACTCAATATCTTATTCCATTGTGGATTTTTCTACCTTGTCTGGGGTGTCACCATTTTACTGATACTTCCATGGTGGGTTGGGTGGCTTTCCTCGATTCCCAAGAAATATCTGGTCAATGGTAAGTAATAGAGGCTACTCTCTATTTTCAACATCCTGGAACTTTTGGCAGTTTGTCGGGCTCTGTACCATTTCCTCCTGCTCCTGAGGGGGTGGGTGGTTGCAGTTCATTCCGACTATTCCATTGTTGTCAGCTACATCACCAAGCAAGTGGTAACCAAATCCAGATCTCTGTGTTCTCAGACTCTGTATTTTCTTTACGACCACAACATAACGGTCTTAGTGTGTCACTTTCCCAGCATTATGAATCTTATCTTGAACCAACCAGGTTATCACCATGGAGTGGTCCCTTCTTCCATGGGTATTTCAGAGAGTGTATTCTCAACTGGGGACTCTGCATATAAATGTGTTTGCCACTCACTGGAAAACAAAATTCCTTCCTTTTGGTCTCAGGTTCCACACCCTTCAGCTCTGGGGCTAGATGCGTTCAGTCAGTTTTGGAGGGTTTCTTCACTTATATCCCTACCCTCTGATCAGACGCCTTCTTAGAGTCTTTTCCCTTATCCAGACTATTCCTTGTCGTGCCCTGCTCATTGCTCTTTATTGACCAACTCAGATGTGGTTCCCTCTGCTTTGACCCTTGCTTGAGCAACATCTTCGGCCCTTATCTCTGTACCAATCTCTTCTCCCAGACAATCGCGATTGGATGTAGTTCATTCCAACATCACAAAACTCCATCTTCTTGCATGGCTTTTGTCCGATACCTTGTTGCTTCAGATTAGGAACTCACCCCTCATATAGATGTCTTTCCTTGCCTATACCATTCAACTTTCCTCCTTGTCTGTGTACCAGAGATGTTGGTCTTCCTTCAGACTTTGGTACATTCACCTTGGCTTCTGCCAGTCCTGATCTTCTGCTCCTCATCTGTCTCAATTCTTCACCTGGTTGTTTGATCAGGGTTTGTCCAAGTCAACTGTTCCTAGTTATAGGGCTACCCTGTCGAATACCTTCCCTTTTTCCCATTTCCAGAAAGCCTACTTCTCTCTGGTTATTTCAGTCCTTTTACATTCCTTTCATCTGGTCTGTCTGCCATGTCCCTTTGTTCTGCTGGATGGAGATCTCATTTTGCCCTTCATGTGCTATCGGTTCTCTCATTGAACCCATTGTAACTTCTTCCTTGTACCATCTTTTTCTTCACACCTATTTCCTCCTCCTACTGGCATATGGTCATCTTCATTCCAATATTTATGCCATTAATGTTTTCTGCATCCTCTACCATTCTTCATATGTTATCCTCTATCCAGATTGGCCCTTCCTTTCCAAGACATCTACTCCCTGGGAAGGTTGTTTAGCCTTTTCTCCTATTTCCTTAATTCCATTTCCCACCTGTACTCCCGTTCGGATCTGGATCATTGTCTTTGTCCAGTTCATTGCCTGTGATGTTGTGTGGCTTGTACTGCCTCCTATTGTGGTTCTCGTTCCCATCTATTTGTTCCATGAAATCCCCCTGTTTCCCATGATCTGTCACCTACTACCCACACTGGTTGGGTTCATCATCTCATACAACTGGCATATTCTGACTTGTCCATGGATGGTTTTCATCTGCACAATGTTTCTTTGCACCAAATTTGTCATCTAACTTTGTCTTTAGCTGCTCGAATCCACCAACCTATGGAGGAGATCATTTAGGCTGATATGTGGACAACTATCAATACATTTGTTGCACATCTGCACGACCTAGCTGTATCTTCCTCCTGTGCCAATTCTACATACGTCTGTTTGCTTTTCACTGGGGTTAGTCAACATATTATTACTATTTTTATTTAATTTAGCTGAAATACATGATATTTGAGGATCTCACCTGGTGTTGGATGTTGCCTGGTCAGGTATGTTTAATATTATGTTAGCACTAAATATGTGTATGTATATATATACGTTCATTTTTTCATATATAAAGGGCTGTCACTCATGGAATTACTGAGAAAAGCAGATGGGGATGTCTGCCCATCCCACTAACCTGTAATTCCTACAATTAGGGTCTTTCTGGTTTTCAAATTAGGAAATCACAAACACCCATTGCACTGTCTCCAGTGTGTCATTTCTCTGAACTCCCCAGTGCATATTCTCCTACCCCCCCCCCCTTTCTCTTCTAGTAGAGCATTGGAGTCCTTACCACTTCTGTTTCCCAGTTGCTGGAGTGGTGGCCAGAGGCAGTTTCCTCCTGAATGGGTTTTGTACAACAAATAAAAATTGAACTTCATAGATCATGTGTATTCACTCGATGAGAAGAGGGCTATAGTTGTTAAATCAATTTCTATACTGAACAATGATTATACAGAAACATAATATTCAGGATCCAAGGCTCTTCCACTAGATGTTTTTGTCCAGATGGACTGCACTTGGCATAATCCAATGTATTTGAAGGTGCTGCCCCTGGATGTTTTTTTGCCTGAATGGACCACACTTGGCTTATTCATAGAGAACCGCAACCATACTATAGCTTACTGTCACTATGTTTGCTACTATGGCTTGCTATATATGTGGATGAAGTATGACATGCATGTTGACAACGGGCTGGTTATGAAAAACTCATGAACACACTCATACCCATAAATAAACCTATATATCCAAGCTTTTTCCCCTGGATTTTTGATTTTTTTTTTTTTTGCCTGGGAGGACTGGATTTGTTGATCAAAATATGTTATATGAGGTGTTTCCTCTGGATGTTTTGCCTGGATCAGGGCATCCAGTCTTCCTATATTTTTGTGTGTATTCCTATATTTTTGTGACATTCCTTTGGGATTTTTTGATATTTAAAAATAAAGCTGTCAATTATATCCCCTCAAAAAAGGTAGTGTTAAGTACTACTATTATATGTAGCAGTTATGTATAACATTAATTGGTATTTTAATTTCAAAGGTGTTAAAAGCCTTCCAAATGTGTTACATACATCTAAAGTTTCTTTGAAATGAAAGTATGATAGTTATCATAGAATTTTTTTTCTCTGGAGAACAAACTTGAATCATCCTTATTCACAACTGTGTCAGTGATCCATATGTACAAAGAAGTCATGTTCATCAGTCATTAAGGTAAGAGTTATTTTCTTGAAAAAAATAATTCTTATGCTGTGTTGTGACTTACTGTTGCTGTCCGGTGGATGGACTGCACTTGACATAATCTGATGTAACCCAAGGCACTACCATTGGCACATACTTATATTGGCATGTTGTAGCTTACACACTAGACCTTCCATATTTGTCTATACTGTGCTGTTTCAAGTCATAGTTATACATCACTTCTCCACTGATTTGGTGCTGTATGTCTCTTTCCTAAATCCATTGGTGTCTACCAACTCAGTTCCACTCTCTTTGTGTTACTGTATTAATAACTGGGTGAAGAACATACCTGTTCCAGAAGTAGTTCTATACCTCACAGGTGTGCAAGAATATGAAAAGAAAGAACATCTGTGGGGTATAGCACTACTTCTGTGTGGTCACTTTCTGTTTGATTGTATATTGATGCGCCTTCACCGGCCCCTCCACCTTTGTGATGTGGGATTCTAGCTTTGGGTGAGAGAAAGTAAGACTGTTTCAGAAGTTAACATTTTCTTACACTGAAAATGTATTTCTTATAGATATTTACTTTTTCTTATCCACTTCCTACTATTCTTCTCCACTGATATGCTGGTATTTCTGGTTTGTACCTGCCAATTCTTGAAAGTGAGGATTGTTTTAGAATAATAGAGGGAGCTAAATATGCTAGTACATATAGCACAGTATGATTGGTGGAGGGTAGTCACAGGATCAGCACGTTCTGAAATGGTGCGAATCTGATGGGGTATAAAAGACTGGTGCAGTAAGTACCTATTGAAAATAAATTTTCAACATGAAAAATGTTAACTCTATTCAAGCATACTGAAAAAATATTAAACTATTTCACAAAACCCCATTTGATATTTTTCTATACATTAAAGTTGATTACATTATACATAGCTTGGACAAAAAATATGTACTTAAAAAAAGGTTTTTAGATATAATGAGTATTATGACTGTTTTTATAACTTAAGATAAATTTTATTTTATGGTAGAAAGAAAAAAATTAAAACTTAATACAAATGCAAAATTGTATACACTAACTGAGAAAAAATGTATTCATGTAAAATATTACAAATTAAAATGTAATAGTTTTGAGTTGGTCTATTTAAATTTAAATTCAAGCTTTATCAACTATTAAAATAGCTTATGAAATAGTTGAGTACACAGTCATAGTCAATTCTGTGACTTAGAATTTATATATAATCATACAGATAAACATTTCTTGGTAATAGCTAATTCCTATTGTAGTTCAAGCTTACATTCCAAGATTGATATTATATTTTAAAAAGGATGAGAAATTAAAATTAAACTACTAATATTTTTTGTAAATAATTTAGTTGTTGTAGAGATATTAAAATATTACACAGAAATGTTGAGACTGTATTGTTCAGTTATAAACATTATGGCTGTTACATTAAATAGTTCTTTGTAATTTTTTTTAGCATTGTTATTATTTTAGTATAATGCTTAGCTTAAATATTTTTAGTAATCATGATGCCTGTGACCAGTACATCAGTTAATGTGAAGCTTTTGTAGATAACTGCTCAAAAGTTCACGTTTTAAGGATAAAATAAAATTGTTCTTACAAAACATCTCATTGTTCTATATTATCTACATGTAATATGGGTACAGGTTATGTCCAATTATGTCATAAGAAGACTAATGTCATTTCTGTTTTTATAGGGCCAAATTTCTATACCTGGAACAGTAGGTGAGTGTGCTTATTTGATAAAAAGTTTGAATAATTTTTACTTTATTTTCATTACTCATTCACTTATTGAAAACACCCTTAGAGTTATAACCATATCCCGTGAACTGTGATTGAGTTAATGTCAAAATTGCAACTGTTAGTAGCTAAAGTATGGTGGAAGGTTTGAACCAATTAAGTTTTTGAATTTTGACTGGCTTGTTTTTATAGTAGACTTGGGGAGGTACAGTTTGGTGACACTGATTTTCCATTCAAAATTATAACTAAAAACTGAAACTTTAATAATAGAAATGGGGGTATTTTGTAAATTTGAATGTGAAGATGAATTCCAAAAGTATAATGGGGGTGTCACCATACTTTAGCTACCATTAGCTATACTTTTCATATTAACTCAGTCATAGTGCACAAGTATGTTTGTAACCCTAAGATGTTTTCAAACAGATATGAGAATTTGAATTGTTTGGGTCATTTTGAAATATTATGGTTTCTTAATTAGACAATGTTTTTTGTCATATTGTTTATCTTTAAATTCTTATCCTTCTTGAGATTTCCAAAAAACAAATTTGTGATAAGTATCATCCATGAAAGATGTGGTAGATAGGTATTAAGGGGATTTAAAAATTGTGAAAACTTATGTTAAATAAATGTAAACTAAGTTTTAAAATTTCTGAATTAGTGCAAGGTCCAACATTTTTAACACTACCACTTTAGATTAAAAGAGTTGAAGCAATATAAAGAAGCCAAAAAAATGGGTTTTTGAAAGCTGAAGCTAAATATAAAGAAAAAAAAAGTGTTAAAAAATTAGAACAATTATTCAATATTAAAGAATTGTGTTAAGACTTTAGATTTTTTCCTTCTTGATTAATGAAATTACTAGAAATAATAACAATAATTAGTTGAATATAAGAATAACACAAAATAAGAAATTTCTTAAATTTAAAGAAAAAACAAATAAGTAAATCATTTTCAGGAAATCCTGATGATGTAATAAATTTATCAAAGTATACTTTAAGTGATGTAGAGAAGAAAGTATTATCACTGGGTTTAAGATATGCTCTTACCCCTAAAAATTAATTATCTACTTGGGTTTTAGCTTCTGTTAAAGGACCTTAAGGATAGTGTAATTAATCAAAGAGCACAGATAAACTTTGATAATGTACAAACACATATTTGTAGTATAGGTTTACACGTGTATAATTTCAACCCAAAACCATGGAATATTAGTTTGCCAGAAATGCAGGCTTTAAGGAAATTAAGCATTTACAGCCCGATAAGGGTAATAAAATTGTAATCTTAAATAAAAAAGGCTATAACAATAAGGTTCTTGAAATTGTAAATAATATTATTAAATTTTGTATTTCAAAACAAGATCTAACTAAATCTAGGGAAACAAAGAAAAGTAGATATTTATTGAAGTTGAAAAATAATTATACAAAAATATGACCAACTGGTTTGCATGCTGGTATTCTTTATGTATTACCAAAAATACATAAACTAAATTGTTCAATAAGACCTATCATATCAACTATTGGATGTTATAGTTATAAACTAGCCAAAATTTTGAATAATGGTTTAAAGGAATTTATATATAATGATTATACCTTGAAAGACCACTTTGAGTTTTGAGTAGAATTACTATTTACTAACATGCCATTGGATACAGAAAGAGGCATGAGAGGGCATTTGCCCCTCCTTACATTTCATAAAAAATTGCATATATTATGATGTAAACTTAAAATCATATTTAAGCTAAATATTTTTAGTAATTTTCATTAAACCTGTAAATTTGTGTTTGCATTTAAGCACACATAACACACATTCTTTTAGTTTATTGACTGAAAAAGCTGATCCCCTATATACATGTCCCCCCCCCTGAAAATATTTCTGTTCAGTGCCTATGATTGGATGAAACCAATGAATTATATGTAAACTTTATTTGTAATAATGAAGGTAGTTTTGAGGGTATACTCAAAGAAGTATTTTGACAACAATGTGAAATAGCAACAAATAAATCACATATTGTTTTTAATGGATATGTATATGATTAAATACATGGAATTAATATAGGATCAAGTTTTGGACCCTATACTAGTAAATGTGTTTATGTGTTTTGAAAAGATTTAGTTACAAGAATTTCTTAAAGAATTTAAACCAGTATTGTGTAAAAGATATGTCAGTGATACATTTACTGTATTTGAGAATGAAGGACAAGTGGACATGTTTCTTGATTTAAATAAACAACATGGAAATATTAAATTGACTGTAGAAAAAGATATACTGTGGTTTTACTGTGTTACGATGTTTGTAAATATAATTTTTTTTTATTATGTTCACCAAATTAAATTAAATTGTCATCAGATCAGATTAATTACTTTTGCTGCTTAGTGAGTGTGGCAGGTGATTGCAAAATATTGTGATGACTCAAATCTTTATTGAATATTGTTTTTATGTTTATCTTATATAAAAAATGTACATAAATAAATTGTCTAATTGGCTACTTAATTATTTACAAGTAATAAAAAAATAAAAATTAGAATGACATAGGGATGGCAATGCCAAAATGTACAGAAACAAGGTATGTACCCAAAACCATTCAAAATTCCCTATATAAGTAGCCAAATATTCCCAAGAAACACTTTTATCTAGAACTAAATGTTGAATTCATTTGTGTGAACTCAGGATTGAGTTAAAGCATATAAACTGAATAATTCTATTAAGTCTTACAATGGCTAATTTCCATAAACTTGAAACATTGACTCAGTGATCTCTTATCTAGGGATTTTTGTAAGATTTTGTGGTTCATCCCAACCTTGTTTCTGTTCTTTTGGCATTGCCATCCCAACATCATTTTTATTTTTGTCACATTTTTTAAATACTTGTTTCCCCACTTTTTTTTAATATGTCGCAGTCACTATGAAAGCAGCTGTCATGAGTTGTCTTGATGAACGTTGTATGTTGAAGTTAGTGAAATGCTATACTGCTGTTGCTCTTCTCAAGTCAAAATGCAACATTTTGGTGTGTAAATCATCACAACAACATCAAGCATTAGTTAGCTAGCCCTTCTGATGCTGGAATCAGGGTAATCAGCAGAACATTTGGCTGTTACGCTACTTGCTTATTCTCTACTTTGGCAAGTTTTTTGTCTAAACTGAAGGTTTTCACAGTTTATGAAAACCTCGATAACCTAAGTTAGGTGTTTATAAAAGTCTTGTACATTGTTATAAGAAAGAGACTATGATGACCAATACATAATATGCGATGTCCATGTTTTTCCTGGCCCATCTGTACATACTAAGCACTACCATGCTTTGTGATAATTTTAGTCATGACATGTTTTAACTAAAAAACATTATTACCCTTATTGTGAGAGTAAAATGTGTTTTCATTATTCAGTTATCAACTTATTTGATTCACAGAAGGTCATTTTGGGATTACTGCATACTTGAAAAACAAATGATAATCCATCCATCAAGTAGAAAATGTCCATAAAATTTGTGGAAAAATTTTGCAAATGTTCAAATGACAACCTTAAGAAGTCTTATAATGTGAAATCAAGGGTAATTGGAGAATTACTTAAAAACACCCAAAAGAATTATTACCATATTAGAATAATTCAGTGATTGAAAAAGTTAAGACAATAGTACACACCAATTTGTTTTTGCTTCTAATTTGCTTGCTCGGGTTGTAGGAAGTGTGGTGTACAAATTAATGTATCAAATGTAATTTCCCAGCTTTAGTGTGTGTGTGTGTATATATATGTAATATACATATATATATAAAACAAAACTTGGAATTGAGTTGGTCAAGATGTTGTTGCAATCAGTCATATCAGTTATTCCAAGTATTGCTGAATATTAAGTGTAAAAAGTGTAAGTTTTCCTGGAATTACATTTGGTAAGTTAATATAGGTGTGAAGTCAACAAGTTATTGGAATAACATATTATTCATAATATACTTTATATTAATATATATTTGTATTTCTTTAGAAAATTTTAAGATAAAAAGTCTGTTTATAGATCAAATTCATTCAAAACTTTTGTGTGAGTATTAACACAGATGCAAGTAGCTACATATTGTTTTTCTTATTTTTTTTTTTCAGAACTTTCTTGAGCATTATACATATACAGATTGTTTGAAACTACTTTTTTATGAATGTTTTTAAGAAAGAGTAAGGCATATTTACATTCTGGTAAGATTCTCTTATAACAAATATAACTGCTTTTGATTAGGAACTACAATTTTAAGAGTCTTAGTTTTAATGAAATTATAAGTTCGAACCAGTTTAAATCATTTTGTAATTTTTTCATTTTTATAATCTTGTAAGACTCAGTCATCAGTGAGTAGTCAAGTAGATAAGTGTTACTACAATAAAGGGAATTATTAATTGTCATAAGGTAGAAATAAAAAGATTAAATGTTTCATTAAAAATAAAATTAAAGATGATCAATATTTTTAGTAACATCCAATAACCTGTTGTTGGTGGGGTGGCAGTCCTTCAATAATTGAAGATGACGTAGAGAAGGGGGAAGAAACCATCAATGCTTAGATTGTCAACTGTGCTTCCAGTGCTTCTGTGATCGAAGCCCAAAATTGCTGGCACATTTCTTTTCACAAATGCTGCATTGTACTGTGCAAAGAACTGTAGGTAAGGTGTGTCTCCAAGCATGACGATCCTGTGATACCTTCACCCATTTGTGGTGTACAACCTATGAACCTTCCTTGATGGGTTTGTGCCATTTGACATTGGCTAGAGACTCCCAGTTGGTAGTAGGTATATCAGCTGTGATCAGGTGATGCTTTATTACATCTTTGTAATGCAGTTTTGGTCCACCTTTCCATCACTGGCCAGAGGAAATTTCTCATAATCTTCGGTAGTTTATGTTCTGGCATACGTATGACATAACCAGCCCAGCACAGTTGTCTTTTAAGAAGCATAGCTTCTACACTGGGCATATCAGTGCACTTCAAGACCTCCTCGTTAGTGATTCAGTCTTCCAAAAATA